TTTCTTTACAGGGTTATACATTTGCAGGGTTATCAAAGAAAAAAAAAAAATTTCTTTATTTGTATAAACTGAAAACAGATGATTTTGATCAGCTGTTTTTTTTTGCTGGCAAATTGCTGCTAGAAAGAATTTTTCCAGCAGGAATTTTTAACTGCGTACGCGAACTCCAAATCATGATAATTTCTGATAATTGTCAATAATAACCAGGTTATCAAACAGACTCGGCGGCCGGTGTGGTGTAGTGGTTAGCAGTGCCACCGTACCGCAGGGCCTGGTACAAGCCCGGTTCAACCTTACATCATAAAAATAAAAATAAAAATAAAATAAAACATTTTTTTTCTAATAGCAGCGGCCCTCGGCATGCAATGGCAATCCTCCGAGTGTATTTCGTAAAACTGTAGGTCTGGTCCTCTTTGTGTGACAACAACAAGGCGCAAGCCACAAATCGGAAGAGAAACTCGGCCAAACACTAACATATGTTTGTGTAAGCGCCAATCTTTTATTATTATTATTATCAAACGTTCCCAAGGAGCTTTTAAAATTTATCTGCCCTTTGTGAACAAAATTTGTGTTTAAATTTTAAGTCGCTTGAGAAAACGGCCCGAAATGCAAAAGAGCTGCTTGCTTGAGAAAGCTATAAGTTTTACTTTTGCTATTTTTCAGTCAGCAATTCAAGCACTGTCTTTAAGTAACAGTATTTGACAGCGGAACGAAAAAAATTGGCTTTTCCTTTGACATATTATATTATATTTCTAATAGTTCCGCTCACATTTTTATTTTGATCGCAAAAAAAAGTTTAAACATCCACAATATTATTTCTGCACGTACATACAGTGGCGAAAATATAAATAGGGCGGAGACATTTTAGCATTTTTTGGCTATATTTCTTTCGTTTATTTAATGTTTATTATTTTTTTTGTGAAGGTGTAGTTCGGTATCTAACAAAACCTACCTAAATCAAATCTTGTACAAAAATTAGGAACATTGGACAAAGTTTCATCAAAATTTTGAGCTTTTGAGCTTTGAGATTTTTAGAAACATTCTGGGTATGCAGTTTTGTAGCCCATTGAATTTTAGTATAATAAAGTGCAATTTTTAAGTAGCTAGGACTTACCGTTGATTTTTGACAATTGTGTTGCTCATTTTCTCCATACAAACAAATTTTCGAACATAATTTGTATAGAAGAAAATGCGTGAAAGTGCTGCTTCAAATTTGCAGTTGTAAAACTTAAAATGTAATGGGCTAAAAAACTGCATACTTAAAAAAATTCCAAAAAATCTGATTAAAAACTTTAAAATTTTGATTAAAAATTTTTAAAATTCGTCGAATATTAATAAATTTTGTACAAAGCTTTAAATTTGGATGTATGTGGTTATTTTTAGATAGTAAGCTATATTTCCATAAAAAATAATAAACATTTTTTAAAGATAGGAAAATAACCAAAACTTGCTAAAATGTCTCTTCCCTATTTACATTCTCACCACCGTATGTGTATACGTACATTTGTATAGCGATGGGCGGCCAGAAGGCGGCCTTTTTATATAGTACATATGTATGTACGTATGTTTTTGCGAAATATTTTGTCCATCAGCGCGCGATATCAGTGGCGATGTCACAAGCGATTTCAATTGGGCTGTCATGCGAACCTTCTGGTTTGTTTGTCAGCAACTGCGATTTTTCGATAATCTGCGTCAAAGGCGACGTGGTCATAAGTGTTGTATTCTAATCGAATTATAAGTATTTTTGTCAAAAATTTAAAAACTTTTTAATTTTAGCACAAATTGATTAATTACATTTTAACTTGTCTCTGTTTTTTCTTTGTTGCACTGACACCACACACTTGAAATGGCTGGAAAGCCATTTATAAATATAGCACCTAATTATTTTAGTATGTCTTGGCAACACGTGAACAATTATTGGCACGCCAGTGGAATGACTGCACATCAAAAACGATAAATTTTATAGATTTAAGTACTATCGCGCACTTACAGTGACGGGCAAAACTGTAACATGGTGTAACACTTTTTACTTCAGTCATCGCTATCTTTCCAAGTTCTAACGACTTTCATACTTTTATTGTATGTTATTATTGGTACACCTGTACTTCCTCTCTCATAATGATTTGAAGTCAATCCAACAACAATAATAAAACCAGCACACAAAAATGTAAATTAAGGCAGATGTTACGGTTTTGCACTTATATATTTTTAATAACTTTTTGACAATTTTAACGAGAAAAAAGAACTACTAACACAATGTTCAGTACCCTTTTGCTTGTTTTAGTTTCAGGGTGCGATTTGGCATACCTTATTTTTATCTCTGTAAAACTTCTGGAGGTATATCCTCCATATATCCTTAGTTTGCTTTCTCAGCTCATGTACTCGATTATGCGGACTTGAATATTAATAAGCTGTGCTTCTAGTTGATTTCGCAAATTCTCGATGAGATTTATGTCCGCGGATTGTGGAGGTCATTTCAAATTAGCAAATTTTCTATTTTGTATCCAGTCTTTGCGAACATATGCAGTATGTTTTGGGTGATTTTTCAGCAGAAACTCTCATTTTTCGACTACATCCTACAAATTTTGTTGAAATATGAATAGATACTGTTCCTTACGCATAATGCGTACTAACCCACAAAATTGTTTAAATACAACCTCAAACTATTATTGACCGACCACTGTGATTCACAGTTTGCCTCACATGTTGCGCATGGGCTTAATTTGGGTCTTTGATCCAATACCATTCCCGGCCATCTGATTGAAAGCAATTAATTGAGTCTTGTCAGACAAAATAACCTTTAATTGAAACTTAAAAATATGTTTTTTATTGCATTCTGAAAGGCCTAACATATCCCAATAGGCAACGGTCCGGTTTTCGGGCGACGCAGCAAAATGCTACCACTCTCGCACATATATTTTGGTCAAATTAGCTTTTTTCTTATTTTATGATGCCTTTGCGCCAGTTTGGCAATTCGTCGCCTCGCTGTCTACTGATTTGCATTAAAGTTTAATACCTTAAGCGCTTCTGTAATAGAAGCTGCATCGCTACTTGCTGCTAAGTTCACAAGATATTGGACCGTATTATTTTTTGATAGACTTCCTTTGTCCTTAGTAACACTTTAGGCTATATTTTTTCTCAGTCTTAACATTTTCATGTGGCAAACTCCACATTTTTTTGCCACTTTCCCTACGGTCCCGCCTTTCCACAGTAAATCTATTATTTACATTTATGGTTCCTGATTAACTATACTATTTACTGGTGATTACTTCTTCAATAAATTACAATACAGAAAAAAGTCATCTGACTTCCAACTAAGTAAAAAATAACTGTAAAATGCAAAACTGAGAGTAAGTGCAAAACTGTAACATTTGCCTTAATTTACATTTTTGTCTGCTGGGTTTTTTTTATTGTTGTTGTATTGACTTCAAATTGATATGAGAGAGGGAGTAGGGATGTACCAACAAGAATATACAACAAAAGGATGGAAGTCGTTAGAACTATGAAACATAGCGGTGGGTGAATTAAAAAGTGTTACACCATGTTACAGTTTTGCTCGTCACTGTATATGTATGTAGGTATGTGCTATATTTTCCTTTGTCTGATGTATATTTCAGTTTCTATAAAAATTAGTCACTTACTGTGACTATGCTAATTTTCCTTGGCTCTTTTATTGAGAACCACAAAAATCATATTACTTCCCGGAAAAATATCTCGAGGACCTTTAAAAAAAAAAAACCTTATTACATATCGACACCTGAGTGGATGAACGATCTATCTCGGAAGCCAGTTCGAAAACGCCCTATCTCAGCTGCCCATTCAGAAACGCCCTATTTTCACCTTCAACTTCGTGTATACGAACACGAGACGCTACTCCGTGGCTATAAGCTTTGTACGAGGGCAATTTGTAAGGTCAATAGCTTTTTTAATAAAATATGTTTTTTTCGCAAAAAAAGCGTTTTATTTCTCAACATAGTCTCCTTTAAGCTTGACACATTTAGTCCAGCGATTTTCCAATTTTTTAAACAATTTCTTCCAAATTATCGGGTTTTCAATGCCTCAAAACAAGCGTTTGTTTCAGTGAACCTCTTCATTCGACGCAAATGTCTTACCGTCCAGCCATTTCTTTGGGTTCAGAAACAGGAAATAGTCGCTGACGGCTAAATCTGCAGAATATGGTGGTAGTCCAATTGATGGATTTTTTCTATGGTGACTTCACTTCTTTGCCAAAAATGGTAGTTTTTTCTTCAACTGTGCACTGTTTACACGCAGCAACTTTTTTGCCGCAGTCGTTGTTGTTAGCCAACTTAATTTACTAAGATGAACGATTCCGCAAAGCATTTTGCCCGAGCGGGCAACTCGGTACCCCTCTCCTTGCCGCGTCATCTCGTTATCTCTTTTAAGCGTCGAGTTGCCACAACAATATCCAGTTGCCGCGTGTGACCAGCATCTGAGTAACGTTTTTTCTCCCCTGAGGGGAAATACATTTCACCATCTTCAATCTCTCTGCCTCATATTTTTTTAAATCTTTCGTCGAGTGTTTCGAGTGTGATCATTTTTAGCTTAAATTTCTTCATGTTTTGTTATGCTGCCTTCAAATGAAGCAACCGTTGAAGCTATTGAACCATGTTGGGCTACGTCAGATATAGTTAGCATTGGTTATTGGGCGCGCTGCCCCGTCCATGGAAAGAGTCCTTGATATCAAAGGTGTAGGAAAGAAATGTTTATGTTTTTCACAAAATTGTTTACATAGTTCAGCGCTCAAGTCATTTCACTTGTCCTGCCCAGTTACTGTGTGTTGCTTTTAATTATTGCACAAAGATTTTACAAAGAAATTTGTTTCAATAAATTTCAACTCTTTTTATTGTCAAGTCACTGAAATTTTTTTTTAACGAATAATCAATAAAAACCGTGATAATAAAGATAAATACAAATCAAGTGAAGGATATTTTTTTTGAAATCCTTGTTAACCGTAGTTGAAGTCCCATTCATTGGGCACAATGGTGGAATGTTCGTTGTGCTCGCTATTGAGTTTTTTATTCAACTGTATTTACCATGTGATCGGTTGTGCTTTAGAGTACCCGCTGGTAGTAATGGCGCTTAGCTTTCTAATTGCCTTGGTTTTCGTAACAAATATTTTTACGGCAAAATTGATTTGTGATTTCCGTAGTCCGTTACGTGGTGGTGTCCCAGCAGATGGCGGCGGAAGCTGCAATGGAAGTGGGCAAGGCGAGAGAAGCGCATCAACGCAATTTGATTATGGACCAGATAATGGTAGGATACATCGAATAAATATTATTTCGAGGTACTAATTTGCAGGCAAAATCTAAAAAATTCAAAGGTCCACATAATTGGCGCTGCTCGGACACAAATCAATCGCCCATAAATATTATCGATGATAATGTGCAAAAATTTCCCATACGTGAATTACTTTGCTGGAATCACTACGATGATTTACCCAACGGCATTATGCTGGAGAATAATGGTCACACAGGTTTCGGAGAACATTCAGCTTTTCTTTTTAAAATTCAACCACTTAATTTCAACCGCTTTACAGTTGTGCTACGCGCCTCTTATTCAGGCAATACACCTACCGTTAGTGGTGCTGATCTGCTGGCTTGTTATACATTTGTTGAACTGTGCTTTCGCTGGAGTTCATTAGGCAACGATGGATCCGAACACATGCTGAATTACCGCAAATTTCCGCTGGAATTACAGGTTACACTTTGAAATGATACTTTGCCGTAATATTCGAAGTGCAATTTCAATTCTATTGCAGGCAATGCACCGCACTGGCCCCTCTGGCGATTATACCTCCAGCTATGATATTCTCATGGTTGGCTACTTCTTTGAGGTTTCATCGAACAATCCCTATTTGGACCCACTCGTACAAAATTTACATCGCATACAGAAACCTGGCTCTAAAATCGAAATTCCACCTTTTCCACTCTCCTATCTCTGCTATCAATTTCGCACTGGCTTCTACAGCTATGGCGGCTCACTGACCGAACCGCCATGCTATCAGGGTGCCGAATGGTTTCTCTTTCCCGAGCCATTGGCAATTGGTGAACGCCAGTTGAACGAATTTCGTCAGTTGCTATCGAAGGATGGCAAAACACGGATTCTGCGTAATTCACGTCCTGTTCAAGATATCAATTGTACACGCGTTGTCAACTTAAATCAATTTAATCCCATAGATGCTTGCCCGATGGAGCCGCCCGTGTGTGTAGATGAGGAAAGTGTTGAATAGCAAGGAAGTGCGAAGATGATTTGCACCGAAGCCAATGCGATTTAAAGATTTTATATTTGTGAATTTATTTACAAATCAAAAATATACACTTGTACAGTTTATGAAAAAGATATCTATATATATATGTGCATATGTAGTCCGTAGAGTCCTTAATTAAGGCCCCAATAATGCTATTGCTGTGAACTTGTTTCGAATATGATCCTTATTTTACTTCAAAACAACACCTTCTTGCGACTACTTAGTAGTGTTTTTGTTTTAACTAAGAAACGTTTTGTTTGTACTTGCCAGTTTTTGTCCAAATTTCAAATCAAAACCGCAGCCATCAAACAAGCGTTTCCTTCAGTGCTCGCCAGTAAATGCAATAATTGGTTATGCATTTGTTTCGTAATCTTATTTAGACTTATAAAATCCCGAGATCAGTTCCTAGTGCCGGAAGTACCCTTGAGTGTGAGTGTGCAAAAACGCCTGATAAGGTTACGTTGAAATGTAATATAAAAATGAGATAAGAGCTGGCGTGATTTGGCTTTTTCTTATCATAAACAAAACAACGGAGCAAAAAATTTTGGTTTTTTTTTTTTAATATTATTTTGGAACTTTATTGTGCCAATTTGAGTTATTATATTTTATTATTTTTTTATTATTAGCCATTTAGACGATGAATAGTTCAGAGTTATATTTAGGAGTCCTTTGATGGTCCCCAATGAAAAATATTTCCTGAACCCTGAACCTGAAATGAATGTGGTGCAAGCAAATTTTCCTTTTCAACGTTTAAAAAATCTTGGGTGATGTTGTCTCATTTCGCTGCAATGTTAAACACGCTTTTTCGCACTCGTGGGTTTTCCATCTACTATCTTCCTATTCTATAAAGCCGTCATTTCATTTGTAAATAAAGCTTTTTTTTTTAAGTCTCATAGAGAAAAACTGAGAAAGCACGTTACTTTTCATGACATTGAGTACCATGTACCATGGAGTTTCGGTATTCAAAATTTACAAACAAGTTTTCAGAGTTCGTTCGCTTTCTAGGAAATTATTTCAGCATTATAATATGCAACGAGATTATTTGTAGTGGTATGTTTACTAGAATTTTTTAAGGTCTGCTTAGAAATTGTTCACGTTTCATTCCGATACGTTAATTACGCTGTTAATTGGTACTAAAATTTATTGGCCTAAAAATTTATGATATTTAATGGCTACTTTTTTTCTAGAAACGAAAAGGTCATAAATTAAAAGTGTGATTTGCAGACATATGTCTGAACACACATTAGGGTGGCCCAAATAAAGTCGGAATTTGGATGGCCTCACCACCTAGGATTGTTCTATACCGAAAAAATATGTCCCTGTTTTATTATTTTGAATTCAAAAGATATTTAGAGGTCGCTCAAAGTTTTCCATGTATTTTATATGAAAAAAAAAATAATACCCAATACTGGAAATAATAATACCCAATTGTTTATTTAACCACTTTTTAATAACTATTTTTTATAGCCGTTTGGTCGTGGAGACTGAATTTTCCGACAGTAGCGCCAAAGATCCCTCCCTTGCCTACCTTGAAACTGCGCCAAAGATCCCTCCCTTGCCTACCTTGAAACTGAAATCGCCAAGCACGATTTTTATATCATGTCGCGGGGGCAGCGCTCAGTTGTACGCTCCAAGCGCTCATAGAAGAGATCCTTGGGCGCCTCTTGCTTCTCTTCCGTCGGGGCATGTGCACAGATGAGCGAGATGATAAAGAATCTAGCTTTGATGCTGATTTTAGCTAGATGTTCTTTTATCGGGGTGACCGCCAGTACTCGCCGACGGAGTCTCCGTCCCACCACAAATCCAACAGTGAATTTGCGCTCCTTTACGTGGCAACTGTAGTAGACATCTGAAGGCTTTACGCATACCATGCCCTGCTCCGTCCACCGCATTTCTTGGATGGCGGTGATGTCAGTCTTAGTCTTCCACCACCTCCATTAAGGGTCCGGATATTCCAGGTGTATACCCTTGTCCTTTATACGTTTGCCGTGGTCGTCATAAAAAAGAGGTAGATCTCATCCGAGGCTGTTTGTTATTTTTCATTTGGCGGGGTTTTAACGCGGCGGAACCCAAACCCAGCGCACGCGGAGTTTTACGCCTTCTCATTTTAGCTCGCTCCTCCCAAACGGGTGCTTGGTCGCTACCTAGAGGATACATGGATATAAATATCCCGACATTGTGAGCTGCGATTTGAACCGTACGCACAAGGATCATTTCTGCCCACTCCCAGGTTAATGACAGTCAAAAGGCATCTGACCTTTCACCCCTTTGCGACACGCCTTAACCGTCTCCAATTGGGACCAACATTTATATGTGATATAAAAATTTGCTTGCCACATTTAAAGACCACCCTAATGTACATGTTAAAAGACATGAAATCCAACGAAGAAAAGTATGACATAGCTCAACCAGGCACCGACGTGTCAGCTGACACGACCTATCTTATGGGATTCTTGTGTTAAGGAAAACTTACCACCGCATGACGGTGACGTTGTCGTTGCTTCTCTCTCTCTCTCTCTCTCTATCAACAGCAATTTCATTTGCCGATACGGTCGGCAAATACGGAAGGGCGCATACTCTACGTGACGCTCCACTTGATTAACCCATATCTAGCAGCCGTAGACGCCCTGGTTTGCGTAGATATCACATGATCATCATGAAGGTTGAATAAGTGCTCAAATATTTTAAACAAAAGATTAAATGGCATACATACCAAAATTAGATTCATATGTAGGTATGTATATGTATATACGCAAATTAGCTATCCCAGTAGCGTTTAGGATCGCCGTTCGATTGCTCTGTGCGTACTCCATGCGTGTCATTTTGTCTACTCTCTTTAACACATAATGTCCTTAGGAGGGCGAGTAATATCTTTTAATTCTCAAATGAGCGATGAGCGAGTACATCACATGCAAACCTCCCAACCAAACAACGAGAGAAAAATCTAGCGCATCCATCAAAGCAATGCCGTAAACCTCAACATCGAGTCATAAAAAAACATTCCTAGACTCCAACATTCATCCTAATGGGTTAATTTCAGATTAGCTGGATACGTTTTTTATTTACTTATTTATTTATTTATTTATTTATTTATTTACAAGAGTAACAATTGTATATAGCTATTATACTTAGGAGGCATGATTCAACGATACAAGGTTATGTAATTTGGGACAGCTAAAATTTGACACTCCTTTATGTAGATTTGTATTTTGGAAGTATATACATAAATAAATGATCACAATGAAAGGAGAAGTCAATTAAGCCATGTCTGTTCCGTCCGTCCGTTCGTCCGTGTACACTCAACCAAATGGTGTAGGTTGCCCTTTACCCAAGCTAGGTTGGTATTGAAAATGGGCGAAATCGGACTGTAGCCACGCCCTTTTCCCATATAACGGTATTTTTGAAAAATGCAAAAACTAAGATATTTCAGTAAATTTGTAATCTAAATTGTTGAAAATTAGTACGCGAAGTAGAATTATGGTAAAAATAATATTATTATGAAATTTTTGGTAAATGGGTGTGACCACGCCCACTTATGATGAAATTCTGTATCTCAGTAGTCCCTTCACCAATCCTTACCAAAGCCGGTCCGAGCCTTGCTTAGGGTCCAACTATGAAATCTGTTGAAAATCTTTGAAATCGGGCGATTATCACGCCCACATCCTATATAACGGTAATTTATAGAAACACGAAAACTACGATAAATCAGTATTCATTGAAGCTAATTCACTTTTTGTGTTCGGAAAATCTAGATACAATTTTTGTTTTTGTGCTGGCGCTATCACTTTCTATGAATTCGCCTTTCTGCAAACTAGAAAATTGTCGTTGTGCAACTTTGTTGAATTTTTCTAATTTTCGTACAAAGTTAGAAATTTGCATTTACATACATGCATTTTGTTAGATCGTATCATATTGTCGTGGGCTGTAAAACAGGTACACAGAGTACCAGGAATTTCTTTATTTAATTTAAATACTGTTTAAAAAAATACTGTACTGTAAGAAATGCTTTTTTTGTTTAGTGGAGATACTGCGAAACGGAATTTTTCCGCAACAATATAGTCTTTTGGCTGAAAAAAAAATAAAAATAAAATCGTTATGCATGAACAATATACATAAAATTAACACTCGTAAAGGTTGCCGAATTTATTAGCGGTGGATGAGTAATTCGTTGCAGGTAATAGTACTACTTATTACTTAGAGAATTTGACTTTCAGAAAAAAGCGTATTAAAAATAGATTAAAAATTAATATTTTACTCATTCAACGTTCTTACTAATGAATAGATACTCAAAAACACATAAGAATATAAACTTACATACGTTCTCATAAGTTAATATGTATGTACATTCGGGTGGTCCAAAAATGCGTGTGTAAAGAAGTTAAGTCCGAATTTTGTTGCTCTCACCAACTGACATGCTCCTATATCGAAAAGAATATACCCCTGTATTTTTATTCCGGAATAAAAAACATTTAGAGGTCGCTCAAAGTTTTCCATGTACTTTATATAGGGAAAAAAAAACAATTTTTACGAAGTGTTTTTTTTCCAGATATCAAATACATAGAAAACCTTTAAAAAAAACAGGAGCTTATTTTTTGGTATAGAACAATCCCAGCTGTGAGAGCATTAAAATTCCGACTTTACTTTTTTTTTACCACCCTAATGTTTATATGGATTTGTGTGTGCGGGCTGCCTCTTACTCGCGTCATTTCAAATGAGTTAACTCTTAATAAAGCCAAAAAAGGCATACAAAAATATCACTCTCCTCGATTGAATTGCAGGCAAAATCTTATCAGCATATCTTTCTAGTTAATGAGATAATTACTTATTACTCAGAACATACCTACCTACGTATGTACGCACATACATAGATAGGATTGACCAGGTTTTTTCAAAACGGTGTAAACCGGTATTATATATTTTTAGGCATTTTTTTAAACTTGATCTATCGAATAAACCGGTTTATTTTACCTAGTTAATTTATATGCCAATTCGTTTTACTGATAATGGAAC